AAATGTATATAAATACTAAATACAAGTACATATATTTTTAAAAATATATTTATATTAGTAAAAATATTTTTATATATTTAAAAATGTGTGTATAAAATATTTTTATACATTTAAAAATGCAATAATAATAATAATAATAATAATAATAATAATAATAATAATAATAATAATAACAACAACAACAATCAATCAATCAATGTAAGGGTAAATCCGAACATTTTTGAAAAACTTAAGGGTAAATCTGAACATTTTTGAAAATTCAAGGGCTTTACTGGCATTAGGTAACCGGTAGGTTACCTGAAAACCGGCTACAAGGGTAAAAATAAACAAATTAAACAAAACTTCGGGCTTTAATGAACATAAAACACGTCCAAGGGTAAAACCGACATTTTTGTGAAAACTTAAGGGCTTTTATGTCATTTTCCCTAAGAAAAACCTCGGAAAAAAATACACAACAAAAGTGCATATTAAGTAAGAGCTAGAAGAGCTCAATTTGAATTTTTATAAACTCAAACTTGGTTCACTATATTATATGTTTCAAACTAACAAGTATCTTCAAAACAGGTTCCTTCCAGGGTGAGGAACAAGGCAACAACAGACTCACCGTGAAGGAAACAATGGGAAGACAATATCTTAACGTCAGAGTGAAATTGGACTAATGTTGGCAGATAATTGTAACATATAATTATGAAATACAAGGTCACGAATATATATTCCAGACAATTACAATTATTTCCAATAATGGACTGTCACTGTATATTGATTGCTACCTTCTGTTGTATCATGTCATCTATTCTGCTTGCTTTCCTCATCATTAACATAACAGAAGAAAAGATATCATCCAAGTATTACACCTCATCTGATACAATCAAAATGCTGCCCATCCAGCTGCACTGCTTTTGCTTTTGCTTTGAGTTGTTGATCCAGATCCACCACTTGAAGGAAGATTCCTCTGCATGATTTTTCTTCTCTTTCAGTTGGAATTAAGATATGAAGAACATAAATGTAGCCAAGGAGATGAACTAATAAAAAAGATTTACCTCCAGCTGAGAAAAATCTGTGAAAGCATCTGTAGAATTCCTTGCAGCAACATTATGAGTTGTAGAAGTCATCCGAACAGCAGCAGGATCATTGGGTGGAGGTGGGATTGGAGACCTAATTTTCCCGGAGGCAACAGGTGGAGGAGCAAGGCTTAGAGGCTTAGACTTAACCTTCTCAGGTGGAGGAGCAAGGCTGAGTGGCTTAATCTTTTCCGATAATCCCGCAGATGAAAGCATCCCCGCTCCACTTGCAGGTTTGTTTTTTACAGTGATCCGAATTGTTTCACCCTCCTAAAATACGTAATGTTTCAAGTTAGTACTCTCTAATGAGCTCAAATCCATTTCAATACTTCTAGGGATTAGATCATTTCAGCTACTGATCTGAAAATGTCGACTATATAATCTTATACGCATAACTGTAAGTGATGATACATACCTTCAATCTGTGATTTACAGCAGGATGGATATTGATATGACTCTCGTCGCTGGCTTCATCGGCATCCTTCTCAATCTCCCTCTTCACATACTTCTCATGATCCGACAACGCCACATTGAAATCAAACGCCTCGTTCCTCTCTGTAAACCCTAACCCTATAAATGCGTGTTTCCCCGTGCCATCCTCGATTTTCAAAACAAAATACCTCGACGAATCGAGCACCGACTCCACAGCGCTCTCCCTCTGGCCAGGATAAACAAAACAAGCCGCAAACAAATCGCCGGAATTCGGATCTTCCAATCGGATCTCACACCGGTCCTTACAGGAAACAACACGAAGCCTGCCAGACCAGATCTTGTCCGACTGAAGCCACTCCCCGCATTTGTAACCGCCGCTAGTGGAACGCGGCGGGATTTTGAAAACAGAAACTTCTCGAACCACTAGTAACGTGTGCTCGAATGACTCTTCTTCTTCTAACTCCAACGACATGCCTGATTGGTGTTGATGTTGTTCTGCTGCTGCGATCGACAAACAATGTGAGATATTAAAATCGAGTAAAAGCGATGTAGATTTCTTGAGGTTAAAGTGATGAAAAGTTCAAAAAGAACAGAGTGATCGGGATTGATTTTGGAAGTAAATCTACAACGACGTAGGATTGAAGAATCGAAGATCGAGAAAGGAAGATCGAATATTATAATCAGAGTGGGAGAGACGTGAGTTTGAAATGTCAACTGCGGCTGCGTCTGGTTTTTTCTTCGTTAGATAAGAATAGGGTTTTTGTAGTAAAAAGCCCCTAATTTTACACAAAAAAAACTGGTTATGCCCAAAGTCGTTTTTTTTTTTTTTTGCCACAGATGCCTCTACTACCGGAAAATTGGTTCACTTTTGCCCCTTAGCCAGATTTTACCTTCTGGGGTCAATCACCTTTGTCATATAAGCCCTTATATTTACTTATCACTTCCACCACCACACTTTTCCACCACCTATGCCCTTTGCTACCAGCACCACCATCAGCCACACACAAACCACCACCACCACTACCGTCCATCATCCACCATCATCCACCACCACCCAACGCCACCCTTATCCCTCCATCACAGAAACCATCATCATACCACCATCATCTTCTCCACTAAAACACATATGGTTTCTTAACTGAAACACAAACATACACACATTCAAGCAAAAATTCAGAAGTCAATGAAGATTTTCAGAACAACTTAAACAAGGAAATGATTTCAGATTCAGAACTCAAGCACAATTCAAAACTCAAACAAGAAGAATTCGAACACAATTCAAAAATCAAACAAGATTTTTTTGTTCTTGAAACAATATTTTGGAAACACAATTCAAAACCCAAACCTTCTTCAATTGAATTCAGAACTCAAAGAATTCAATTCCTTTTCCCATTGATCCTCTTGCAGAAAAAAAAAGCGAAAGGGTTTGCTCATTTTCCAAGTATCGGTGATTAGACGTAGGGTTTGCTCTTTTCCTCTAGCCTCACCTCCCCTATCGCTTACCGTTAACTGCTACTACAGCTCCCAAAGAGATTTTCCTACTAAAGAAAAGCTGGAAATCGCATCGAGACTGTCTTTGATTCTATCCTCTTGGGCATTCCCCTTTCTGCTCTTTATAGTTGACCAACTCAAACCATGAATGTGAAGTCCTGCGCTCCTAAACTCGCCCCTTCGATACCAAATTCAGAACTCAAACATACATATACATTCAATCGAGCACCAAGCCCTACCTATTATTGGTGATCGAAATCAGAAGAGAAAGAAGAACCTTCAATCGATTTTGGAGAGTGAGAATTTTTTTTCTTGTTTCTTTGGATCCTGTCGATCGAAGAAGCAGACAGTGGTGAAAGCAAAATTAAAGATGGTGGTGAAGGCAGAGAGGGTTTGAGAAGAAGACCAAGTGGGCTACCGGCCATAGAAGGTAAAATCAGGGTAAATGGCAAAATCGAACCAATTTTCCGGTATTTGAGGCATCTGTGGCAAAAAAAACGACTTTGGTCATAACCAGTTTTTTTGTGTAAAATTTGGGGCTTTTATGACAAAAACCCATAAGAATACCCGGCAGGCCGCGGCACCCACCGTATGTAACCAAATATTCGGTTTGGGCTTTTTCGTCATGTTGATTTATAGTTCAAATTGGTTTTTATTTTTAAGCTTTCGTTGAATATTATTATTTCAATTTCAAGTAGTATGTTCTACATTTGTATTTTTTAAACTGGAAAACCATTTTTGTATTAGGTTAAAGATTTTATTTGTGAGTGACCATGTGTATGTGATTGTGAAATCGAACCATGCCAAGTCATTTTAGAGTGATGGTGGTGTTATGAATGAGAGTTCGTTTAGTTTTTTTTTGTGCTTTTGTTTTTTTATTTTGGCATACTTTCAAGTGTCCGGTGAATGTAATAAGTTATACTGTTATATGAGATAATGATCAAATGATAACATCATTTCTTATAATTATTTTATAATTAAAGTAAATGACTTTACTTTTTGCATTTACTGTAATTATTATCAAGTCTAAAATCGGTTATTTTATAAATATAAAAATTTGAAATTTGCTCTCATGTGTACAAAACACTACAATTCTCATGTTTTTTTTGTCCAAAATATACTTCTAATATGACATAAATTTTATTAGAAACAAAATAATTTATACAACAAATAATTTTTGCAGCCATGATAGTCATTATAGTAAATTTGAAGAAAATATGTTATTTACAATAATTCTTAGCAAATAAATATTGTAATTCACTAATTCTCAAATCCCTTAACGCAAATTGTAATTCACTAATTTGCATTATAAAAAAGATATGCATCTTAAGTATGTTTTATTTTTCACATGTATGTCATGAAACATAATTTATACGTTATCTTTCAAAAACTCGTAGAATATTTGTTTCTGTTTGTTTTACATATGAATCATGATGACCGGAAGAATAAAACGATTATGAATAATATACAAGTACTAAGTTTGTAAATGGTTTTAAATGTGTTATCATCCCATGAAAACATTAAAAGATGGAAAAGTCCAATAAACCTTTGAATTCAGTTTGTTATAACATTTTTTTAGTCCTTGTTGGGTCTTAAAAAAATTATGATTGTGTGATCATAATTGTTGATGCGTCAAAAATGAACCTCGCATCTACTATTTTGGCAAGCAGTAAATAATGATCAAACAATATATTCAGTCAAATATTACTTCGCAGAGGGATACCTTTGGCACTACAAAAAATGTTTAAAAGGACATACATTTCTTGACTTCAATGGTCTATAAAGCACAAAATCCAGTAAAAGGAACCATTTAAAACCAAACAAAGAAATGACACAATGCCTTAATGATTTTCAATTTGGAGTCGGTATGTCGGGTGACGCTAAGGCCGTTCTTCATAGTGTCAACATGGTGTTGAGTGAATGTCATTATGAGGCCCTCTTGCATTGCTTACCGTGGATTTCTCGAATTCCTTTAATCTGGTGGATATATATGTCTTGCTTCATGGGGTCAGGATGAGGTGCCCTTCCATTTCTTTGTGGGTCGAATTCTTAAATGGACAGACAACAATGTTGTATTTGGGAGATAAACATATTTGGTCCACTATTGGAGTTTAGCAATGAGACCCTTTGGGACCACTTCTTTTTGCTCTCGTATTGCACCCACTTGCTCATCAGATTAGAGACAATTGCACCCACTTCTCTTTCATGCTTGGTATCTTGATGATGAGACCGTCATTGGAGATTTAGAAGATGTGCCCAGAGTATTGGACATCATTAGGGTGACAAGTTCAGGATTGGGCCTTGAACTGAATATCAAGAAAACTAAGCTTTTTTGGCCTTCATGTGATGGTAGGAAGCTTCGTGCAGGTTTATTCCCTGTTGACATTGGGTGGTCGTTATTGGAGGTAAAGCTTCTTAGGGGAGCTGTTAGTAGAGATGCAAGTTTTATTAGCGGGTTAGCCATGAATAAAGTTGTCAGCGTTGTTGATTTGATGCTCCTTCTTCCATAGTTACATGACTCCCAGAGTGAGCTCCTTTTGCTCCGATCTTGCATGGGCATTGCCAAACTTTTCTTTGGTCTGAGGATATGCCAACATGTTCACATGGACGAGATGGCTTTGTTCTTTGATAAAGAGTTATGTGGGTCGATTGAGGACATTGTGATTTGTGGGAGTCCTTTTGTAACATCCAGTTTCAGGACATTTCTTATTTTGGGATTTCAGGTCGTAATGTGATCAAGTAAAGGTCTTGGGCTTCAAAGAGATAGAGTTTAGACCACATCAGATGTTGATAATGTTGGTTAAGTGATTAAGCTCTTTAATTGTGTTTTATAGCCAAAGGGTAAAATGGGAAAGTGATATTCCAGACTTCTTGCACGAATTAATGAATTTAGTGTTGGATGTAGTGTCTAAGTCCATAACTATATTTGGTATGTACTTGACCTGACCCGGCATGGTCCATTTGGGTTGCATGACATTGCAACACTTGGATAGACAAAAATGAGAAAAATGACACTTAAGGTTTATTAATATATTATAAGTTCTAATATATTAATAATATTATTTAATTAGTATTGGTCAAGAATTAATTTAGAATTAATTTGGTGATCAAAAGGAGACTAATTAAATATATGGGCGTTGATTGTGTAAATCATCCATTCTTATATAGTGGGCTAATGATCTATGGTTTATGGAGTTGGGCTAAAACCCATAAGGTGCTCCATGGATAGTCCATGGGG